AGTAGTCTTGAAGACAATGATTAGCTGGTTCAGGTGTGTTTGATTAGGGTTGGAGCTAAACTCTGAAGGAAAGTGGCCTGGAAGGGCCAAGTTTGCCCACCCCTGATCTAACTGAAAACAAAACATCTCATTGGCTGTGTCTCAATACTAAGAAAGCAACCAACATCCCAAATGGTCAAAGGTTTGGGTTCAGTCATTTTTTTTTCTGTTTGTAACACGTTAAAAAATGTATTAAATCTTAAAATATATTCAAATAGAAAACAGTTATTTTTAATGTAATAATATTTCACAATATTATGTTTTCAATGTATTTTTGATCAGATAAACGCAGCCTTGGTGAACATAAGAGACTTTTTAAACAGATTTTTTACGAATTTTATTGACCCCAAGCTTTTGAATGGTAGTGTCCCTCTAATAAATGATGTTTTAGTAGGCAGTTCACAACATTTCGAGACGCAGCAATAATGATGCTTGTGTGAACTCTCTCAGGTTAAATCTGCATCCAGGACCTGTTACCTTTAGGTGATTTTCTACAGAAGGAGGAAAAACCCTTCATACTGTGGCTTCTTATAGATGCAATGGCTGAATACAGGGTAAAACAGGTGAGCGATGAGAGACAGAAATGTTATGTGATGCAAATTCAAAAGGAGAGATGGAAAGTAGTGCATTTGTAACTTAACAGTAATGAAATCGGAGACAAGCAGCGTTCCAAGATGTTTTGTAAAAAAAAACACGTCATCCTTGGCAGGATATTTCATATCCTATGTGTTATCTTTTTACCACTAGATGGCAGTCTCAACATATAACTGTACATCAGCCATGAAAACATGTTGGCACTAGGGGTGCCAGCTAACAGAGAAATGCCAGTGGGGCACATGCTGTCTGGCAATACATTTCACTGCATGCCCACCATAAGGCTCTGATTCCACAGTTCCACAAGTCAATGGGGAAAGTAAATCAAGTGTGCAAATACCAGAGGTTGAAGAAAACAACATTTAAATTAGCAAAAAATGCCATTGTGTGCCTGTGTGTATAATTACCTTTCTTAGGTGAGCTGTGAGGGGATGTGGGAGGAGATGACAGCTGTGAGGAGTTGTTGGACACACTGTCCTCTGTCGGTTTCCTGTGTCTCTCTCCTGCCTCCTCTGAAAGGGACAGTATCTTTTTCAGAGACTGTGGTGAGCTTGTGCCTGTGCAAACACAATAAGATTCTTATGAGCACCCGTAATACACAATGTAGAAGCTGATCATGTTTAAGCTACATAAATGCGGAGTCTCACCAAATGGCGGCAAGTCTTTGACTGGCACTTTCTTGCGTGATGGGTAGAGGGCTACGGCAGGCACTTGAAGCGCCTGGTTGGCTTTCTGAAGCTGCTGGCGCTGGTGATTGGCGGCCCGTGCAACTACGGGCGATGTGTCGGGTCTCTTCCTGTCCCCGGAACTCTTCGGCACTGTAATGATATAAGACAAATAATAAATATTTAGATAAGTATTTACAGAATGAGAAAAAGAATTTTAGAAGAACTATTTTATTCAACAAGAACACATTCAATTGATAAAAAGTGACAGTGTAACATTCATAATCAAGACATTTATAATGTTACAAAAGTTCATGTTAAAAAAAGAAAAAAAAAAAAGTTATTTTGAACTTTCTAGTTATTACATAATGAATGTACATAATGAATGTGTAGGGTGGCCATATGTGCCATTTATACGGGACACATCCTGGCCATGATTTTTATATTGCCTAAAACATCCAAAGTAGTTTGACCAATAACATGCAGGTATTGTACATAATTGACCAATCGTGAGAACGATCAAAGCGATGCAAATACGCGCACGTGTTTGTTCGTTCGTTCGACTTGAAGCTGTGCACCGAACGTTGAGAATGACACCAAAGTACTGCGAGAGCGATTTGAAAGCATAAGGAGCCGTCTGCTCTGCTCTCTATAGCTCTCGTGAAATAATGTCATACAACGATCGATCTGCACAGTGCTAACAGCCAAAACCTGGATATTTTAGGCAATATAGAAATACTGGCAAGGACGCGTCCTGTAAAAATGGCCCGTATGGTCACCCTATGAATGTGACACTGAAGACTGGAATAATGGCTGCTGAAAATTCAGCTTTGCCATCACAAATATAAATTACAACAAAAACAGTTATTTGAAATTGCAATAATATTCTACAAATGTAGTTTTTCCTGTATTTTTGATAAAATAAATATAGCTTTTGTAAGCATAAGTGATATTGAATATTTTGTTCTGTGGGGTATGCAGTTTTTTTTATTGTGAGGTAAATGTCTGTGGTGTTTTTCATCACATGCCACTGTTGTTTCCTGTGGATTCCCCTATTTGTAATAGTGTGTGTACTTGCTACGCTACTCACATGTGTTGACTGAAGGCTCACACTGAATTGAGAGTGTCTGCAGGCTCTCTTCATTCGTCTCCAGGGTGAGGTTGGACAGGTATTGTTTGACCTTGCGTGCCATCTGTGCGTCCTCGTACAGCTTCTTGGCATTGAGGAAGGAACTCCGTCTGACCCGCTTCTTGTGCCCGCCCGTCTGGGTTACATCCAGGACGGCCGCATTGGCACTGCCCTGACTGAGTGACCTAAATGCACACACATATTACAGTTAAAGATGCAGGCTGACTCTAACAGTGGTAGTATGCTGATGCAGGATCAGATCAGTCTCTCTTTGACATGCGATAAGTTGCATTCCTTGCAGCTTCAATCCAAACATTCCATGCATTTCACATCTCAGCCAATCAGGCAGTTAAATAAAAACTGGATGTTAAATAAAACAACAGAAGTATAGTAAAATAACTGATCATTTGATCATTTAAAAGAATAGATCATATATATTTTTTATAGGCAAAAACCTTGAACAATTTTTGTCAACCATTTATTTAATGTATTTATGTTTAAAGGTGAAGTGTGTAATTTCTGAACCATTAGCAGTTTTGTATGTTAGGCTGGAATAGAAGAACACAAATTTCAACTCAAAAAAGATCTTATAAACGGCTGTGTTTGAATTCACACACATATCATTAATCACATTTTATAAACTATAGAAAATAATCAAAAAGGCAAAAAAAAAAAAAAACAACACTGCAAAAACTTAGTTGAAGGCGTGTGGCTATGGTAAGTAGTTTAGCTGGAAGGGGCAAGTTAAATCACTTTTGCTAAAAATGGATCATGGGATATCAAATTAATAAATGTGCAGGAACCAAACAACTGTAAATAAATTCATGCATACTAGTGGAGTCATGTTTGTGAAACATTCAAAATCTATGGTAATTATACAACAGAAACATTAGGATGTATTTTAGAATGAGGTGAGTTTATTTAATGACCCTGAGTAGCAAAAGTGATGGCGGTCAAATGCTTGGATGGGATCCGTCATAGCAGAAGCATTCTCAAATGAACCAGAAAAAGAAAAATAATGGATGGTGAGGAGCCAGCCCAAAATAAAGGAGGGGGCACACATGAGGCCAAAGGTGAGAGTTCACCTTACTCACCCTAAACTTCTCCATTTCTTCTTCCTGTAAGGGAGAGCCATGAATAGTGAAGTGTGGGGCAGAGAGGGTGGATGAAGAGAGAAATGCGGGAAAGAGAAAGCCCATGAGAGAAAAAGAGGGAGACACACTTAGATGAGGAGAAACAGACCAAGGGTACCAAGGTGAGGTGCACCAGAGACCAAAAGAGAGACACTAACTTCTCTGACAATAATGCAGACAGAGAGTAACATACAAAATGGCTTAACTCGTACGTAAATATCACTTTAACATATCAAAAAACCTTTGGAAAAAGCCTGCATGTGGAAGCGTGAGGTGAAAGCTGTACACATCACAGTGAGTGGGCACTAAAAGCTACTCAGTGATGTGAAGAGTCCAGCCTGAAAGAAGGACAAAGAAGTCATTGTAGCACTCAGAACAGAAAGGCACTCACCTGGTTCTGAACATCAGAGCAGGGTCCATGTTTACAGCTGCCATTCGGCCTACGTGTCTGATCTCTTTAGCAATCATCCGCAGTTTCTCAAAGTTCACCAAACCATCTACCTTTGAGTCATTTCCTAGAGTGGACAGTAAAGAAAAGGCTCATTTCATACATTTTTATAATCATTTTTTTCCCCTCAGGGTCAAATTAAAATGGTGAAGTTTGTGTCAAAGCAGTCATATTTTCAAAATGGACTCTCAAAATGGACAGTTTTTGCAACTGTGCCTTTAAGACACAAACCTTGCATTAAATGCATAGCACAAACTCTTAAGATTAAACAGAAATGATCAGAGTCCTAGTTAGAAACAAACGTAGGAAGCCTATGCAGAGGTGTAGGTGCTACACAAAGCCAGGAAAATGCATTACTGACATATAAACATGGACAGTTATGTATTAATAATTTCGGACTGGGAATGAAGCTTTGAGAAAGGTATCAAGCCATTTTATCTAAAATGTACTTGAATAATAAATAAACACGGGTACTATATAGTATACTGTGTCATCACCTACTTCGGTGAGAACTATCTTACCTTCATGCAGGAAGGTGAGATCCTTCTTGATTACAGGGAAAAGTGGGATGATGGGTGGCTGCAGGTTCTGGCTGTTTAGAAGATTCCGGTACTTCGCCATATTCCTGGAGGGATCAAATAGATCTTGAAGATCACTAAACAGCTTCTCATATTTACTGGGCAACTTCTCCCATGTGCCTCTCAGTCTGGACACTGGTGCCAAGTTCAGACCACTGGAAAAGACACACAATGTCATTGTTACTTGGAAAAATATAACATACATAAGAGGTCTTCAGTTTAACCCTTAATTTTTCTGCCTCTTAAAATAAAGACTAATTCTACCTGATGATGGCAAACATGGAGTTGAAGTTCTTGCACTCGCGGCAATGCAGTGCGATCTTAATGAAGTGCTTGATGATCTTCATCCGTTTGAGCTGGTAGGTCTCACGTACCACCTCTGTGGCCACCCAGAAGGTCTCCCGATTGATGGCCTCCTCAAAGAGCTTGAGGCTGGGGGGCCTGGTAAGACGGGTTTTGAGCTTAAAGAGGTCATCAATGTATTCGGTGGGCTCGATGGCACAGAACAGCTCAAAGGCACGCATGGACAGCTGGGTCGCCACTTCCACTGTACTAAGCTGCAGCAGGCTGATCTGGCTCTCCCGTAGTAGTTCCTGGGCATCTTCATCCGAGCACAGTGTCTCTGTCTCCATGTTGCTTTTCAGGTAGTACCTACAGGTTAAACGGAGAATAGGCCAATGAGAGGAGAGGTCACCAGATGTTCTAAGTGGTTTGACACCAAATAATTCAGAAAATTGATCAAAATGGCCACAAGGGCTCTAAGGCATCACCTTCCACTCAGCTGGATCCTGTCGGCCAGTTTGGAGAGTTGTTCAGGGAGTCGCCGCTGCTTGATGACACCCTCAGGAGTGACTGACACCTCACACAACGAATATGCTTCAGGGGCAGCGGTCAAGGCAAACTCTCGGATGGCCTGAGCTACGACTTCTTTTGCTGTGGTGTCCTTCCCAATCATGATGTACCGACTTTGCTGGTCTGCCTTGAACACTCTCAATACCTGGTCTGACATGTCTAAAGAACAGAGGAATGGCTTAAGCCCACACACTTAACCCGTCCATTAACCAACATCTCGGTGGAAAACCACTTATAATGTGTTACCCATGATCATTTTACATCACTATTGAACTTATGTCACTTTCACACTTGGTATGTTTGAATAAATCAGAATCTGAACTAGAGTTTTGGACAGTCAAGAAGTGATCCACTTGTGGATTACACATCTACAATCTACAAATCCATCATCAGGAGCTTTTTTTTTTTTAATAAGTTGTACAATTTTCTTGGTGCATATGTATGCTCAGAAGACACCTTCACAACAAGCAAACAAATCAGCCTTCAAGTTCAATCAATCTCACACTGAAACAAAACCTCTAGTGTGAAAGTGACGCAAATCAGTGAACAAGCAATTAACTAAAGAGTTTTGATGAATCCCACCAAATGCAGTGTTTACAGATTAAGACCTGATTGAGTACCACCAAAATTTGTTCTACATAGCTTTGGATAGCAAAATCAATGTCAAAACTGAACAGAGAAGATTGTGATTAAGAAAATGAAAGTAGCTGAGAAACCTCTAAGACGACAAGATCAAATACTTACTTATAGGGACTGCTTCTGAAAGAGGACATTCAGGACAGCATGAGCATCTTATTAAATATGCATGCACTGAGATTAAACTTCTGTGAAAGGTTCTGTAGATGCCCTAAAGGTAAGTGCACAGCAAGACATGTAAAGATCTCTACTATCTTTATTTACTGACGCAAAGTCTGTTCTCTCTTGAGAAGAATGTCTAACCTAGTAGAACAAATTCCTGGATTTAATGATTACTGGCTAAACCCTATCCCTAGGGAAATGGGAGAGATGATAAGAATGCTGTTCACCCCTTAAGACCAAACCACAACCTAACCCTAACATGAGAGTGGTTGACTAGACTGTTGTTCCAGAACCAACATGGATGTAGATGCAGTAAAATGTCTTACTTTGCTAAACCACATTAAGTGTCTTACCAGGCTGGTTGTTGAAGTCAAGTATGCGATGGTGTGACTGCAATAGGTCAGGGTTGCTTGATGAAAGGTTTCCACTGACAGGAAGAGCAGGAGGGATCTGCTTTGACTGCTTTAGCCCGACAATACTGTCATCCTGGGATTGTCCCACGCCAACATCACTGTGAACAAACCTGAAGAGTTATACACTGAAGTGGACCAAATCACCAAGAGAGCTTTCATGCATGAAGCTCAGCTTACTTGTAAGGTTTGGGTGGAAGAATACTGGTCAGTGTCTTGTCGAAGATCTTCTTCAGCTTGTTTCTGCCACCCACGGTGTTGGCCTTGGCTTTCTTACTAGCTTTCTCAAGACCCATGACCTGCTCCACATCCACAGCCAGGTCAGGGATGGAGTAGCGGCTGGCTTTCTTAATGTCCCCGATTTTGGGGATGTGAGGTGCCCCGTTCTTCCTGTCTGGCTCCTCCTCCTGTTCTTGCTCCTGGTTCTGGTCAGGCCTGGCCAGTAGCTCCTTAAACACTAAGAGCAGGGAACACAGCACAGAGAAAATGAGTTTAACAATGCCATCTGACATTTTCAAGGAACAAATAGCCTTTTCCAAAATCAATTACAGCTACATTTACCCCTACTGCAAGAGGAAAGCGAGCTGACTGGCAATTTTCAGATGAAGTGTTGTGTTGGATCTAAATGACAGTCTGTGCAGCTGTAGTCATTTCAGCCAGTGTAGCTTACCTAAGAGATTGGTTTTCACAGTAATGGACAGGTGCGTGTTGTTTTTGAGAATCTCGTTAGCTTTGGATAACGGCACATTTTCAAAGTTTTGCCCATTGACCTCTAGTATCTGGGGGGAAAAAAAGATGAAAATCCAAAATCTTAATCAACATTGCAGCTGGGCCAGTTGATAAATATACATAAAGCACAACGTTTTATTTCAGTACTATATACTTTCAGCACACAGTGAGCAGTTTGTGGTATTACATGTCACTTCATAAAATTCTCTCAGTGAGGTAAGGTATGCTGAGTGAATGCGAGTGTGATGCTTATTTTCAGTGTAAAAGGACTTTGCCCTTACTGCAACATTAACTCCTTTGGCATTCATTCATTCATTGACACAAACAAATACAGATCCATAATCACGTTAGCGGCCAAGCAATATGTTTTTTATTGGCTAATATGGTAACATTTTATAATAAGTATACACTAATAAAGTACTTACAAATCATTTGCAAACTATTAGTTTATAGTTAATTCATAGTTTATAAACTGTAGTTAATACATTAATAGACTCTATACAAATAGTGAGTTCTTCATTCATTGTCACTGTAATTAACAAATTATTATTGTTTAATTAGCTCATAGGCAAAGACTAAGATAATGTTTTGTTAACAGCTTATCAACCGGAAACAATTCTCACTTTAGATTAGCTCACAGAAAATTGGAAAATGTCATTAATTAAATGCTTTAAACCAAACTTTACTTTTACATTTTTATATCCTTTACATTAATTGCATTAGTATTAAGTGTTCTTTCAAATTCCACAAACTGTATATTCTATCCCCATCACAGAAAACTATATACTTTTCTGTGATGGGTAGGTTTAGGGGTGGGGTTGGTGTAAGGGGATAGAATAAACAGTTTGTACAGTATAAAAACCATTACTTCTATGGAGAGTCCCCATAAAACATAAAAACCAATGTGTGTGTTTATATGTTATGTATTTGTAAGCTTTTTAAGGAACACTAAATATTAATTAAATTAATGTTCAATAAAGGCTGGTTTATAGCACTTAATTAATGACATTTTCCCATTTTCCGTGACCTAATCTAAAGTAAGAACTATTCACTGCTAATTACCAATTAACAATTCCTTTACTACGACCTAATTAAACAATAATAACTGTGTTAATAACAGCGACAATGAATGAAGAACTCACTATTTTTATATAGCCTATTAATATATTAACAATGTAGAGATTACAATATATAAACTACAAATAAACTATAAACTAATAGTTTTTAAGTACTTTATTAGTGCATACTTATAAAGTGTTACCACTGATATCTACTGATATCTAGAGAGCAGGGTGGCTGATGCCCGATTTGAATACTGATACGTACATAATACAATTTAACAGCAAATAGTGGATTCACAAAATTGCTATAAATAAAAAAATAAGCACTTTTATTTTATTTTGTACATGCACACTTGTTGATTTTGGCAAAGTTGTATTTATTATTATTTTTTTTTTAAATGATGACGATAGATGGCAGTTTACAAGTCTCTTGTCCTCCCTGATTATTATATATATAATAGTTCCCTTGATATATATATAAGAGTTCCCTTGCTACTGATAACACAGAATAAATTAAATGGAAACTTATTCTACACAATATTAACTCATATTAAACTTAACAACAAATTGCTTATCCATTGTCAAAGCCGTTCACTGATACAAAGGGGAACTACCACTTCTGTTAATTGGCTAAGCAGACACGGTTATTGTCAATAATCTAAAAACGGCCAAGTATCAGCTGATTAACATTCTGAACAATCACAATCCTCTTGTGGTTCAGAGGGCAAATAGATAGCAACTAATTAAACAGCTTTATGAGCCAAATACCACAGTGAGTGAAGGGCAAAAGGAAACAGTGTGACACTCTATTCATCTGAAATCACATTTTCCGCTTGTGTGAAGGAGGGAAGCCGTGTGGCAGACATATTTAGACTACAGAACAAGTTAACAGACTGAGATGTGTGTGCTTTTACGTTTGAACGATAGATGGAATGAAAACAAAATCATAAGATTAGGTTTTTGCTCTTTTTCTTTATGATTTAGGGCAGTATGCTGTCAGTGCTGTGACTAACCGCTTTCACCGCTTGACAACAGCAATTACAAATGCTCTCACACAATGTTCCCCACTTCCAGTCCCATAACTACTATTACTGCTGCTAATGCCACAGCAAGTTGCTATTACGGTGTCAATTTAACAACTACAACTATTTCTGTAGCCTACTTCAGATCCTGCATGCTGCTGGTGTGACATTACCTGATCTCCTCGTTTAAGGCCGGCCTCTGCAGCTTTGCTGCCTGGCTCCACGCTGTCAATGAAAATGCGAAAGCCCTTCTCTGAACCCCCCAGCAGGGTGAAAGACAAGGGTGCTTCCCTCGAGGGTTTGGTCAGGGTCACCACCCGCAGCTTAGCTTTGGCAGCACATGCTATGTTTAACAGTCTTAGGTGCCCACACATTTTCTGGTTCAAAGAGAGGCATTACATGAGAATGTTGCTGTCGACTCAGCCACAAAGCTGAAGAACAGCAAGAAATCTTAAGGTTTTATTGCACACAACTGACCTCTCTCTCCAGATTGTACTCGAACTCCTCAAGAAAATGCGTCATTGCGGAGTCACCCTCAAAGTCGTTGAAATGATTGTTTACCCACAGCAAGACTACCCGTGTAACCTGATGAAATATGACGTAAATAATCATTCATCTCATCAAGCACTGATTGACTTAAGTGCTTGCATAAGAGTGTCTATGTACCTTGTCCCTGAGGCTGGGGTCATGGAACCACTCCAACAGTTTCTTGCCTACCACCATGGGGCTTGGCAGGAAGGTGCGGTAGGTAAGCAGGAAGTCCTCGATGTAGGTGGGGTCCACCACCGAGTGCTCTTCTACAAGGTGCATGGTAAGACGCTCCGGTGTGCCCTGTAAAAACCAAATGTACTCTTTTAGAGGACGCCTATTTAATCCAACTTTGGCTTATGACTCTCTGATTTGGGTTCAGCCAGAAAAACTGGTGGTCAGTTTCATTGTTGTGAGGCAAATTTCCCTCCGCTCTAACTGTCAAGACATTGGACTCATAAAATGTATTTGATATTCAGTCCATATATGCCTCCACTGTGCTAAGCATATTTCTATGTTTAGGAATCAATAAATGGCTATGTTCAATGCATCTGTGTAAATCAGAGCCAACGCCATGTCAATCAAGAGTGTGAGTCAATGTTTCCTAACAGTTTTTGCTGCGTGGCACATCTCATCGGATTCAATTCAGACTGCAAAATCACAACTCAAACAAAATATAATTTCTTTTGGCTGAAGGGCCGTAAAATAGAGGTGCAGGAAACACTGGTTTAAGTATTAAATCCTTATGTGAGCTATCATTGGACCTCATGACAGGTAATGTCCCTTATAATATGTTTTGTTGGGAAAATCTTCTAGTTGGGAATTGCCTTCTTGTCACTTTACTGTAGCTACATTTCTGAACATTTCTTTACCTCTGGGTGTGACAAACACAAACTCGTTTGTAGTTGGGTTCTCACCTTGATGACAATGTGTCCTTTTCTGGTGCCTGTGCGGTCAAGCTCTCGGTGTTCCTTAACCATCACAATCTCACCCTCCTCTTCCACCTTCTGCATGTTTTTCTCCACTTGATTAAGGATACAGCAGTAATCTTGCTGTGCTATGCAAACAAACTGACAGAGAGAGAAATGAGAGCAAAAGTGAGCAAGCAGACACAAGTCGAGAGGCAAAAGTAAATCACTTTTAAGATGTAGCAGTGTTTTCAAATGATTTCCCCATGATAATTACACCAGTGCACTGAGAAAAGATTTCATTATTGCTAAATTTTCACTAATCACCCCTATTATTCTCATGTTTAATGAATGGGCAGGACCATATCACTTTTGCAGTAAATGAGTCATTATAAACCGCTAAAATAGGTTGGACAGGGATAAAAGACATTCTTCTTTGTTTTTTTTTTATAGATAGAGTTCTTCCTTAAAAAATACTGGATAGCCAAATATGCACAATGCAAAAATAGGCTTCATTTTCTTTACTAAATGAAACTATGCAATCAAATGCAATGTTTATTTATTTTGGCAGAAAATAGGATTAACTTTTTTTGGCAGATTATGGATTGTTGACTCACCTGGCAGTCATCCACCTTGGTCTTCATCACCCCTTTCATGTACTCTTTCTCCATGGTGGGGGACACACCGAAGCTGTTGCCCATGCACAGGATTTCCGTCCGGCCATCTGGGTGTGTCACCTCCACTGAGCCGTTCAGAATCACAGACCATGAGTCCAGCTACAACAAAGGTACAATGACAAGTTAACAGTAAGACAAAGGAGGACATATGGTTTATTTTTAATGTTATATTACAGTTTAAAGCACTGTCAGTTTGCTATATAAACCTCCGTGGTGAAATGCAAAACTTGGACCTAATTACTTGCTGCTGCTTTTTTTTTTTTTGAGCATTGGTAATAGTGGTGAACATGTCATCACATTGAGCTGTGCAAGCCTCAAGCCCTGTCCTGCTTTCAATTATATGGATGCATTAGGAGGGAAAATGACTCTTTTTGGCATGTCAATACTGAGATAAGGAGATAAGTGATTCCCGCTGTATCGCGAGCATCTTGCAATCTCAAGATGCTGAATGCTGGCATCCATTCAGGTTTAACAGTGCAGAAGCTGAATGGCTGATTGGCTGTGACGAAAGGCAGGGCGAAGGATGGCAGTATGTGTAAGCAAAGCCACAGAATCAAGAACAACATGAGACTTTAGTGAAAGCTGGTTAAAGGCTAAAGGTGAATGACATAACTTCAAAAAAGAGAGAGGATTGGGGTTAAAGAAAGAACTAAAATGGGATTTGTGTAAAAAGCTAGGCTAATAGCTATTGATATAGAAAAAGTGCAGTGTATGTACTATACGTACTAGGTCACACATATAGGTTAAAGGTGAAACTGAGGCTTCAAGTAAGGCTAATGCTACTGGTTTATGTCACGGCAAGTCTAACCGACCTCTTCGCCATCATTAAGGACGACTGTGCCGGCCCGTTCCACCACAGCGAACACCATAACAGCACAAAGCTCCCTCCTGACAGACATGGTCATGTTGGCAAAGGCCGGTAGCTGGTGCATGAACTCCAACAGTTGCTCTGAAGAAACAGGGTGAGAAACAAGAAGTGAAAGTCACATTTAAGACTAAGTGAGATACATGAGAGTCTTTGAAAGTCTTTCATTGATATTTGTTCTCTCTATCAGATGCAGTTTGTTCTTCCCACATGGAGAACGGAAAAACATTCTTTCCATGGCTATAAAAATAACAGCAACCAAGCATCGAATGCATTATTAATACAAAGCTATTTCTGAGAACCGGCTAATCTTGCTATGCAATATACAGGACATATTATACATGACAAAATCCATTTCCACAGTAACAAAGAACTAAACAGAATGTAGTTTCTTCAATTATGGACACTTCCCAGGGGGTTTCATTAAAACAAACAGATGTTGATGCTTTTTGTTACATGGAAGTCAAAATAAAACTGTCATAGAACAATTTATCATTTGTTTTTGCTACCTTCCAAATTTACGTGGTTTATGTATAGATTTTATTATTTAACTATGCCAGATGTAAAATTTTCAACTTTGAAATGTAAAAAATAAATAAATAAATTATAGCATTTTACAAACCGTGATAAACCAAGTTAAATTACAAAAAAGTTAAATGAGCAAAATAAACCACTTTAATATTGTTTGTGATTTTTTTTCTTTTCTCACTTTAGCACTTTTTAGCCAATTACAGCTGTCCCTCAGTTGTTGTCATTTAGATAAAATTCAAGACATGCGATGTGGAAAGAAAACTTTAAAATAAAAATAAAGTTAGTATTTAGAATGCTGGGATATTAACCTTACAAAGCCATTTTCACCACAGGATGTTATTAAATACAATACATCATTTGGGATGTGGCAGAAATGACACTGTGACAGAAATACTGAACAAAAATACTGACAGAAAAATTCTACTGTGCTATATGTATATATACTGTTGGACAGCGGCAGCAGACAAATTAAATAAACTATAGTGAGAGTGTGAAAAGTGTGTTTTCACACCATTTTTTTATTATAACGCACAGGGCCAAAAGTGCTCATATAGAAAATCCCATTTCCATATTTGTCTCTTTTTGACAGCTTAGCCTACAAGTGTGCATGCCATTCCGTTGCATAGAACATGGTATATTTAACATCTTGTGTCCATTTATTGCAAAGTAATCATTATTTTACAATCAATATGAATTACTATAACTGGTCATCAAGATAATAGTTTTTCTTTAACAAGTTAATAGTTTTTCTTTCCATGCTCGACAGGCCAACCGAATCATGTATTTGGCTTTAGCTAGTGTGACAGGGCTGCCCAAAGGCTGGAGTGGTTCAGTTAAGATCGAGGAGAGTGGAGGCAAGAGATTTTGGATTTTGTTCCCTGCCCGTGGCCTGTCTGGGTACTCGATGACCTGTGCTTGGCATGGCACCACTGAAGCATAGCTGTGGATGCGGCTAAGCCAATCAAATTTTAATGCTCTCCGTGAGGCGCGGCTGAGAGGGTGACCTAGAAAAAAAAACCACGTCTCCCCCTCACTCTTTCCTTTTGTAGTCTCCCCGACCTTTTGTTGCCTTCTTTTCCTGGCAAATTATTTCATTGCTTCCGCGAATCCCATCTTCCTTCCTCGAGCAAATTCTGGTGTTTGAATCACATTCTAGCATGATGGTTTAAGCAAATGACTCACCTATGTCATCATCCGTTCGGTCCATGGGGTCTTTCTCCAGGCAGTCTCGGACTATATCTCGACTCATGAGTGGATCAGAGGCACGTTCGATGTCTTCTTCATCGTCATCCTCCTCGGAGTCAACGGCTGTCTCAGGCAGGCCACTGAGGTCCATGTCGCCGGGCTCACTCTCTGTGGCCTGCGTGTCAAAAACCTTTGTCAGTCAATCATAGTAAGGTATTTTGGACATTTTTTTGCTTAGATTTTACATCACTGTGGTGTTTCTTCTAAATTAATATCCTGAATCCCGGAGCTGATCACAGACCTAACATCTAACATATTTCAGAAGCAAAGTTTAAGCACAGACCCAAAAAAGACAAAATGATCAAGACTAGGATTCAAGGCTATAAAAAACTGGAATGAAACATGACTGCATGTACTACTGCATAACAACAATTCAAAGCAAGCAACAAAACAAACCAACCAAACAAGCACAGGTAACAACAACAACAAAAAAAAAAAAAACATATTCTGGGTATTAAAATACAAATTTAGATGTTTGAACTCCATTTTTGAGAAAATACAACCCAACACCCACCCAGCACTGCGGCATGGCCCAACCTGACTAAAATAAACAAAAGAAAGACCCATCCCGTTGTGTAAACCACAATCTCCTGTCGCAACCAACCCTGATTCGCTCTCACCTGGCCGAGGAGCCCCAGCGATACTCTGTTCCTCCCTGAAACTGCCCACAGTGTCGCCTTGACCAATTGCTTGCAGAAGCCGGGTCCCAGCCTCATCTTTAGAGCTCTGGCTTCCAGCCACTTTTAATTTTTTAAGCCCCTCGATGGGCTCACACAAACGCATGTCATTTTGACTTAAATGACCTGTATTACTCATCAAATATTCAGACAGTGCTGAAAGCAGCCACTCAGAGGGTGCATAGGGCGGGGAGATGTGAAGCTGGGCTCTTTTTGGTAGGGTGGGGACAGGGGAGTGGGGGAGGATGGTGGTGGCAGCTGGCAAAATGCACTAATATAAAAACGAGAGTTATCTATCACATAAGCATCCCTCTTAAAGAGGTCTAAATTACTTGTGGGAATAGATCACCTAAAAATAACAATTCTGTCATGATTTACTCACCCTCATGTCATTCCAAACCAGTATGACTTTCTTTTTTTCCCAGAACACAAAAGGAGAAATGATGGAGAGTATATTCATTGCAAGTACAGTGAATGGGGACTGAAGCTTTTTGGATTTTTAATAAAAAAAGCAGCATAGAAAAATCATAATAGTATCAAAAAGTTTCATTGAGCACGTTTACATGCAAGCTGATAACTCACAAATATCAGCTTATTAAAATAACCAGTTTTCCCCGTTTACATGCACATCAGTAACCTGACAACGCAAGTAAGCTGCGTTTACATGACTTAATTAATAAATCAGGTTATTTCCCTGTAGTGACGTAAAAATATAATCATTTGCGTATCTGACTCGGAGTATTCCATACATTTGTCAGTTGTGATGTTAAATTAAGCTTGCAACATGTCGGGAAACTTACAGCTCATATATTATCCTCTCATGCAGTTATAAACGCAGCATTGTGACTGAACCACTTCTGCTGCACGAGATGAGAACACATTTTTATCATTTTCTGAGTCATGAAAAAGTCTGCTTTTGTGATATATCTCCTTCTTTCTTTACTGCAAGACGTTTGCTCGGTCTAGATGCGCTTAAATCTGCACTAACGATGCGTTCCTGTCACGTATCACACATGCGCACTTCAATAAGCCGACAGAAAGCGGGTTATTGCATTTACATGCCGTGCGAAATCGGGAGTAAGAGGCAAAAAACTACCTGTTGCGACCGGTTTATGCGTACGCCGTTTATGACCTTACTCCGATAAAAGAAAACGGGTTACCACGTTTAAATGACCAAGTGCGTTTTCAGCTTATTAAGCATAATCAGCTTAAGAACGTGCATGTAAACGCGCTCATTTTTGAATTTCCCTTTTTGGTTTTTAACACAAAACTGTTATTCACTAAAACTCTTGACATCTTTTCATAAGAAGAGTGACAAAGTCTAATTCTTGAACAAATTATTTTTCTCAAACAGATCTCTTTATGATTCGATTCACAAAACTAGTCTAAATAATTCAATAATTGGACTGATCTGGTTCTCAAGTTGAATTCAATGACACAATGATCTGGTCAACAGTTAACAGCTCTCTAAAGGTGATTATCAACTTAAATTCAAGAAAATAACTTAAATTTTAAGTTGTTCCTCAAAACATGACAAAAAAAAGGTTTTATGCCTTCAGAGACTTGCACAAAAGTCATATGAAACATTTTTATGGTTCTTTTGCAGTCATTTTTGAAGCATGGCAGCTCAATGCAATTGCACGAAATTGTGTAATTGTGTTCAATGTAAGAAAGGCATACTGCTTTGGAACGACCAGTAAATGAAGACAGATTCTTATTTTGGATGAACTGTTCCTTGAAGGCCCTCAATCCTGCTGAAAACCTCCATGAGCTCTCAGATGCTCGATAACTCTGTGGCACACATTTGTCCCGGAGATCAGATTGAAGTTAAAACAAACACAGATCTATGAGCAGCATTTACCAACTACAATGACAGACAATCTCAAATGCTGCATCCATTAAACTGCAGGAAATCCCAGTATTCCCTGCTCTCAGCTATGAATTAAATATGCATTCCCAAAGCAGTAAGTCACTGGTGCATGACGACTGAAATCTATGTGCTTAAATAACAGCAATCTTGTTGAGGAAAGGTATCAATGACTGTTGATTAATGCGGTTTTAAGATCTTAAAATCAATACACTAAGCAGTCACCCATTAGCTGAACCTTTTGGGATTTACATTACATTACATTTTCATCCAGACACCGTTATATTGATGACTCGCTTCAGATCATTATGTCTCTGGCAGATAAGCTTGAAGAAACCAAACATATCACACTCAAGTCACATATTGATAAACCAACTACACCACTTTGGGATTGTTCAAAAAGTTTCATTGCTGTACTTCAACAAGAATCAAACACCACCAATGATGCAGGCAAAGCAGGAGTCGAGCTGGCCTCCCTTATATAAACCATTTAAGAGCTAATCAGTGAAGACAAACATAGGGGCTGTTAATACATTGTAGTTGATAAAGGGACTGATTTATCTTTCAAACTGCCATGTCTGGTGCAATCTATAGCACTGTTTGGGCAGCTAAGATGATCGTGAAGGGAACATTAATTTTTTAGCAGGACTATTCTTGGATCAATGCTTTCAAGCCTCCCTGAAGAAGCTGCATCATTATTTATTCAAATGTAAAAAATAAACAAAAAAAACAGAAAAAGAAAAAAAGTGACCGCTTTGACAGCTGCATTGAGGATATGGGCCATTACTCTTAACAAAAGAGGCCTGAGGTACTGTAGGATACCAACATTACAGTGGGGTTCAAAAGTGAGACCACTAGTACTAGTAAATGCTTCTGTTTTGCATTTTTGTGATTTAATCAAAATCACTTTAATTTCAGTGAAATGTTAAATGTACTGTATGTTAAGTGTTAAATGTAAAAAAAAAAAAAATACAAAATTATATATATATACTGTATATATATGAGATAGCGATTATCTTGACATGCACTATTCAAAGGTTTCGAGTCAGTACAATTTTATTTATTTATTTATTTTATTTATTTATGATATAGCAATTTAGCTAATTTAAACGTCTACATTTTCTTTCCCTTGGCATTCCAAAACCACAACAAACATTAACTGCCACCAATTCTGATTTCAAATAAAGCAACAAGTCACAAGAGCCTGTGCATTGCAGTAATTTGGCCATGGGTATGGGCTGTTCTTAGACATGATGCACCACCTTTTGTGCATTATTGGTTTTATAAATTGGCAATATGATAAAAGACACTAATGTTCAATAAATTATAAACTGTGTTAACAACAACAATTAATGAACAATTATATGTAATATAATTACATACAGCAGTTAATTAGCTTAAATAGTTCACCCAAAAATGAAAATTCTGTCATTAATTACTCACCCTCGTGTAAGGTAACTACCACGTTCAAGGTCCAGAAAAGTACCAAGATGATCGACAAAGTAGTCTGTGTGAAATCAGTGGTTCAACTGTAAAGTTACGAAGCTACGAGAATACTTTTTTGCGCAAAGAAAACAAAAATAACAACTTTATTCCACAAGTGACGAAAATGTGGAATAAAGTCGTTATTTTATGTGTTCCGAAGATGAACGAAAGTCTTGCGGGTTTCGAACAACACGAGGGTGAGTAATTAATAACATAATTTTCATTTTTGGGTGAACTAACCCTTTAACTGTAGGCAGACACATTAATAAAATATTGTGCAGCTTCAACAGCTTCAAACACACGCAATCAGAATTTAGATTTGAAACCATCCATTTAATATTAACAACATTCCACTCAGCCTGCTGTTGTTTTACATTTTATGAGACGTGGATCGCAAGGAAAAGTGAGGAGAATTGTAGTAAAGCGAGGTGTAAAGCAGGGAGATCAAAACCTCTTTTCAGAAGGACACCGTCCAGCTGTTAATGAGCCTTTAACAGATGGCCATCAGGCCAGGATCACGGACACTGCATAAACTGAATTATGTCCCATACACTTTTGCACACGGCCTGCCACAAAACGTCTTTAATCCGCAAACACATCAGACAAGGAAATCAATGAAACAGCCAGGCAAATACCAAGCCAAACACTATTAATAATATTAATAGAGGCAAACATATACATTTTGTAGACGGGCACAGATATATAAGGTAAATGGGGGGGTCCTTCTGCTTTAATCTCATTGGCTCATTTTCACAGGTCATTGGCTCAGGTTTAGTTATAGTGACAAATCTTTAGTGACAGAAGTCTTGGGTTTGATTACCAGGGAGCATGTATACTGATAAAATATGTATCTTCAATGCACTGTATGAAGATTTGGATAAAAGCATCTGCCAAATGATTACAATGTAAATGAAAGAAATTAATAAAGAGGGATGAAATTTGCATGCACATTAAAGAAATGGCTCACCCCAAAAAATCTAAATTAGGTGTTGTTCCATATATATGTATATTTGTTTGAAATAAATGTATACTTATATTCAACAAGGACACATTAATCAAAAGTGACAGTAAAGACATTTATAATTATTTTATTTCAAATAAATGCTATTGAACCTTCTATTCAAAGAATCCTGAAAATCACAACATTGTTTTTAACATTGACAATAATAAGAAATGTTTCTTGAGCACCAAATCAGCAAATTAGAATGATTTCTAAAGGATCATGTGACACTGAAGACTGGAGTAATGACTGCTGAAAATTCAGCTTTGCCATCACAGGAATAAATTACATTTTAATATATGAGAACATTTTAATAGCAATCATTTTAAATTATTATTAAATGTTTAATTTTATTTAAAAATATTACTGTTTCTACTGCATTTTAGATCAAATAAGTGCAGCCTTCGTAAAAATATGAGACTTCTTTCAAAAAAATGACTGACCCCAGTCTTTTGATCGGTATGTGTGTGTGTGTGTGTGTGTGTGTGTGTTTTGGGTAGATTGAAGCTTAACTGACATGGTTACCATGAACTAATTACTGAGCAGTGAGACTGTTCAAAACTTCTCCTTTTGGGTTACACAGAACAACATGTGAGCCAAGAAATGAAGTTGCTTTTTGAGTAAACTATTACTTTATTATTCCTAGCTGCATTAGTCATCGCAGCATAAGACAGTAAAAACTGTTGACTGCTGTCAGTTCAGATCATAAAGTATGTGTCACATTGTGATGGCACTGCCACAAAGCTGCTAAACCTACGTTACCCGATGGCTAGGTGTTGTTACCTGGTAAATGTCCGACAGGCTGCTGCTCCCAGAATCACTGGTGATGCTACATCCTGAGTGGCTGGAGGAAACGTGTGTCACCTGGGGGTGAATCCCGTCTGCCAGGTGTAATCTGCTGAAGTCTGCCGGCAGCTGCATATGGAGACAAACAAATAGAGCGTCAGGATATACATTTGACCATAATAATCCATATGCAACCTGCAATGCAGCTAATAACTGTGACAGCCAATCAGTAGCATATCTGTTAATTTACTCAACCTTTTGATCACATATATGGCCTCAAAGCCAACAGAAATAGACTAAAAGTAAAGAAGCTCTGATCTGGACTTCATTTGACTTCTAAATGTCACAGATTGCAGTTTGTCTTTTCTGCTAAAGTTCAAAGTAATGTCAGTTTTGTGGTAAGCTGCAGTCCACTACGCTATCATTTATTCATCACATCTTCAGTCTGATGTTTCTGATCCTCTCAAGGATTTTTTGGTGAAACCAGGCCTCAGAGACATTCAATGTTTTATTAGAGCTAAAACACGACCAGACAATATCTTAAACAGGTGCAATTTTCCACTCCACACGATCCACAGTTCCATCAAATGCAACAAAATGTCAGTCAGGTCAGTTACATTTAATGCAGGGTTTCCCTATTTTCCTTCAACAGAATAGCACAGCTCATTTGCTAATGCTAATGGGTGTCGACAAGCCGTTTCTCACACAAGCCATTATATGACCTCAAAAGACTTGGAATATATAAGCCATATGAACAAATAAAGACTCATATTTTCCACAGTCCTGTATATTTTCCACAAGCCTGCTATTAAGTCTGCTTATACATTGATTCCCAGAAGCTAAATTTGGACTGAAGCTATAGAGAAAATGAAATTTCTAATTATATTTCGAATGCAAGATAGCCTTGGCACTGTAGTACTATCTTGGCTTACAGCAAGAACAAGGCTGGTTCATATCGACACACAAAAAAAAATCATTAGGAAAACAAATATCTCATAATTAATGAAAGAAAAACACTGTAAAGTCGAAGGCTACACAATATGCATGTGGCATGTTTATTTCCTCTGGTTCAGTGTGAGCAAGCAGCTCCTTTGTGGCAACGCTCTGTACATATTTGAAGGGGTGCGGCTGCAAGAGCAAAGCATGTGTGTGGGGGGGCTTGTGCAAGAGGCAAGGCACTGACAACAGCAATTGAGATAAGGAGCTAAGAACCAATTTCAGCTAATATTAGAGTTCACACACACACATACGGCCACATTGCGATGAAGCTCATTCAATTGGCTCCCGATTGTGTCTGCGTGTGTGCTTGTGTGTGTATGTGTGTTCACGAGTGAAATTGCTTTTTTTGGGGGGCTATTGGATGTCTTCAGCCAGCTGTGGCTGAGTATAGCTTTCATACAAAAATGCATCTGACCTAATTTCCACTCCCATAATCATATACATGCCGGAAATGCAGCCAATTCTCCCCGGAGACGGAGAGCTTGAACAGAGAGAAAACAACCATATAGATGGAATAGGAGCAGATAAGGAAAACTATATATTTGCAAGACACTATCTGTACCAATATTGGTTCAGCAACAGGGGGAATGGAATTAGATGCCTGCTGTTTGGTGTGCTGTGAGGCTAAAGGTGTGTTAACACACTAATGTGTTGATGAATATTCCCCCTCACATACACAAATTCATTATATTAATCTATTGCCATGGCAACTCATCCATATTAATTGGGGCTATTTACACCTAAAAGCAGAGAGACAGCATAAGAGGAAGAAAGAAAAAATAAAATAGAATAGAATGAACTAGTAAAAAGTAAAAGAATGAAAGAAATACAAAGAACATTGCTAAAAGAACAAAATATGGGACAAATGAAAGAGAGCTAAAAAAGACAAACAGAGCAAAGGAGAAGACAAATGAATAAATATACAACACAAATAAAAAAAACAAAAACAAATGACAAACAAACGACAATTAACAAAAGACAACAAAAAAACAGAATGTGACAATGAATGTATGAAGAAAAACAAAATAACAAAAACAAAAGAGATCAAATGAATGAAAAAACAAATGCAAGAGTACAAAAGAAAAAAAACTAACGAAAGAGAATGCAAGAACAAGCAAAAAAAAAAAAAAAAAAACGGAAGGAAGGAAAAACAAAAAAAAAAGACAGAACAGAAGGAAGAACAAATGACAAATGGCCGAAGTTAGAAAAAAGAAAATCGTACTTAAAGAGGTCATATTAAGTTGCTAAAAAAAGTTTTTGGTGTAATGCAATGTTTATGTGGTTTAAGCGGAAGGAAGGAAAAACAAAAACAAAAGACAGAACAGAAGGAAGAACAAATGAAAGAGAGCCGAAGTTAGAAAAAAGAAAATCGTACTTAAAGAGGTCATATTAAGTTGCTAAAAAAAGTTTTTGGTGTAATGCAATGTTTATGTGGTTTAAGGTTCAAAAAACACATTATTTTCCACATACTGTACATTATTGTTTCTCCTCTATGCCCCGCCTTTCTGAAACACATCGATTTTTACAAAGCTCATTGGTCTGAAAAACGAGGTGTGCTCTGATTGGCCAGCTATCTAGTGCGTTGTGATTGGCCGAATACCTCAAGCGTGTGACAGAAATGTTACGCCCCTTACCAGGTTCAGGAAACTTTCCTCCGTAAAATATGCTGCACACACTCGAATATTTGGGTTGTGCTGTTCTGGAACAGTGTTGTAAATAAAACGTAACCACTGATTTCTAGTCGTGTCCTCTTTTGGAAGGCCAAACAAAGTAGTTTGGCTTTCGCAACGAATCACACAGCGTCTACATGACATGGCGGCAGTGGCAAAAATACTACAGCGAGAATAAAAGTTACGCCTTCTTTCTTTGCGTATACATTTGGGCGGTGTTATGCAAATCTTCCCACACAGTGATGTAGATATGTGGGGGCGTGTTTGAACGAGACGTTTTAGGAAGGCGTGGCTGAGCGTTCACTTTTATAAAGAATATCTCTTTGGATTTGAGACTTTAGTCTTTGCAACTTTACAGATCTTCTTTATGCACCAAGAGCTTGTAACACTCCAAAGAGAAAGGAAAAATT